TCCTCTCCCGACTTTCCCACCTGCGGCATCGCCTCTGCCCGGCCCCGGCCTCACGCACGCGCCCTCGCTCGCTCGCGCGCCGATCTCGTCCCTTCCCGGTCCGCCGTCCCGCGTCCGCCCTCAGTTCCATTCGCATTCCGGAGCACGCGCCAGGCCCCCGGCGCCGGGGCGGGAGGGAGCGCAGCGGCAGCCGAGGCAGCCTCGTCTCTCCAGAGCCCTTCCTTGTGGCGAAGGAGACTCCAAAGGCGGACACCTGAGAGGACTTAGCAGACCACACAGTCAGCGTCCTGGGCCCGTCCCCCTCCCCCTCCGCCTGCTCCCCGGGTCGCTCCCACTGGGACAGGCAGAGCTGGGCCCCCAGAAGGCGAAAGGACAGTGCCTGAGGACTGCATTCCAAATTCTCTGTCCCTTCCCTCCTCCCGGTCAGGGCGCAGGGCTGGTGGGCTGAGTGGGGTGTGGGGGCTCAACCAAGCAGGGTAGGGAAGCCGAGGGGAGGACACCCATCCACTGTCCCTTCCTGTGCTGGAAGCAGGGGTGGCGGGGAGGGGAGCTGGGCTGTGATTCTGAATTTGAGGGCCGAGCTCTGATGTCACTCTTCCCTGATTGTCCATCCTGAACCTACTGTGGGACAAGGCCCGGCCTGAACTTTGGGGCGGTTGCTGGCCGTGCTCCCCACCGCCCGAACGTGGGGATGGTTCCAGGCTGCAGAAGGGAGCCAGGCACCGGGAGCCTGGCCTCTCAGGACAGTGCCAGCCTGCTGTGGCCTGGGGTCCGCCTGGCCAGAGTGTTGAGACCCCTCCATCAGGACAAGGCATACTGAGTGCCTAGGGACACCTCTCCCCATGGCTCCCCGCCCCCATGGCCAGGGCCCACCTTCCCCCCCACCCCAGCTGGAATTGGTACTGCTCCTCTCCTCAAGACCCCCCAGACCCCTCTAACTGCCAGGGGAGGCAGGCCTGGGTCGCCGGACTGGGCTGGGGTCTCCCGTCTCTCGCGTCGCTGGCCAATCTCCGTCTGCCGCTATTTGATGAATAATTTAGTTGTTCGAATTACAGTAAAGAGCTATTGAGCTTCCCTTCCCAAATCGGTAAGAGCAGATACAAGATGCCTTGGTTTCTTCTAAGGAAAGTCCCTTTCCCAGTGAGACCGAGGCTCGTGGGCGGGGACCTGCCCCTCCCTCCCAATCATTCGCCAATATGGGAGAGTAATAAGGGATCCTTTGTTTCTCTTGGCTGTAAAAACTAGATTGAAAAACTGGATATTAGATGCCAGTTCTTGGGAGCAGGAAAGTACAACTGTCCTGAGGGGTGCTTGGGGTGGTTCTCAGGAAACAGCCTAGAGGAGCTCGCGTTGACCCCAAGTCACAAGTGTGGTCCCTGGAGGGGATCTGAGGGACAGGAAGGAGCATTGCAAGAGCCTGGGAGGAAGGAGCATGGGTGTGAAACCTACTGGGTGGTGTAATAGCACACGTGCGTGAACGTTTGCACACGTGTGTGAACGAACATGTGTTGCACATGACTGTGTCATAGCTGCGTGCATGCATGTACGCAGGTGAGCACGTGTGCACTCATGTGTGCACGTGCAAGCATGTGCATGTGCATGCACGTGTATGGGTGTGTGCATATGTATAGGCGCTCCAGTGGCGAGGCTGGGCGGTGCGGCTGGGACTGGGTGGGGGTTCTCCGCGCTGGGAGCTGGGAGGCTGTCAGCTGTCATGGAGCGTTCAGTGTGCTCAGGCTGGAAGAGTTGGGTGGGGAATCGGGGTGGGGCTGGGCTCCTGCCACCAGTCAGGTGACTTGCAGGCAGGCAGGGGAGGGGCTTTAGGAAGTTCAGAGAGAGGGAGGGCAAGGGTGAGATCCCTGGCTGGAGGACTCATTGAAGGATGAGGCAACTCCAGGGGCCGGAGCGTCCTGGGTTCCGGAGCCGGGGAGAGCCAGGAGGTGGGGCTCCGCTGGCGATGGAGCCGGTGGGTGTGGATGGGGGGAGGGGCCGGAGCCCGGGCCTGGAGTCTGGCCCTGCTGATGGAGGCAGCCCAGGCCAGGGGCAGAGGGAGAGGATGCGCGGCAGGGAGGGCTGAGGGCACAGGTCCCTGCTCTCTGCAGCTGTGGCAGGAGCAGGAAGCGGGAGGAGAGGAGCCTCTGAAGTCATGCCTGGCGGCAGGCTCAGCCCGGGCAGCCGGAATCTCGCCGGCAGCCAGCTCTCTGGGTCCCACTGGGGGGATGGGCCTGCATGTCCCACGACACGCCCCCCCACCCTGGAGCCACTCGGCCTGTGACCCACACCTGATCTACTGACTTTGTACTCGGGTGATTCCAACTGGCCTTGCGCAGCCACCGGGATGCCCTCCATGTCTGTCTGTCCTGGGCAGGGACGCCCAACACAGGAGCAGACAGCACACAGTGACGCCCTGAGGGGTGAGGATGGGCCCCCCTCCTCACTTCCCTCTTCCACGCTCTCAGCCCCACCCTCGCCTCTGAGACTCCCCCCACCCCAACTCTGGAGAGTCAGAGACAGCTGAGGAGCAGGGGTTTCCAGGGCCACTCTAACTGGTCCCAGATGCCACAAGGCTGACCCTGCCTCTGGAAGACGGCTCCCGGACAGGCGTACGAAGGTGGCTTCTCGTGGAGGCAGCGCCGGCCAAGCCCTGGGTTTGCGGATCTGAGTGGGGGGACTAGAGGCCTCAGGGGACCCACCTCTCCTCTGCGCTCCAATGGAGGGCCTTCACCCTGCCACCCCCAGGAGAGGCCTCCCAGCCCCCTCAGGGTTGGCTTTTACCACTCCCCCCACCCATGGGGCAGCCCCAAAGCGCATGGGCACAGCAGTGGCCACCACTTTCCCCCAGCCAGGTGGCACGGTTCACCCAATAAATGCCCAGGCATTCCCCTGAGAGCCTCCTGTGTTCCCAGCTCCCGAGGGAGCCTTTGGGATGCTCTCCGACCCTCATCTGAGGCCTCTTCTTCCCAGAAGGCCCTGTGGGGCCCAGCTGGGTCTCAGCACCACCTGGGCAAATGTGGGCGTATGCGAGCGGGTTGGGGGGTGGGGGGGATGGGGGAGTGGGAGTGGCCCTCGTCCTGCTGTCTCAGCATTGTTCTGGCTGTGGCTGAGCAGGAACCAGAGAGAGGACTATTGGGGCCCCCTCTAGAACAAGACAGCACCCCCAGGAACACCCTGGCCCCTTCCTCCCTGAGAGCTCTGAGCCCTGTCTTGGCTCCTTGGGGAGAGGGAGGTGTGGCCAAGCCCCACAGAAGGGACGAGAGTTCTCCCAGTCTCCCTGGCGAAGAATGTTCTGGTTCCTAAGTCCTGCTGGGCCCAGAAGCTGCTCCTTGCTTCCTGGCGATAAGGAACAGGGAGCTCTCTGCACCCCTCCCTTTTCCCCTCCCCACTTCCCCCCTCCAGAGGCTTGTGTAGGCGGGCACCTGGCTGGTGGCAGCCGAGCAGAGCCACCTGCCCTTACTACCTCTTTCCCGATAGGCAGCCTAGCAGAGGGCCTGGCACACAGTAGGTGCTCGGTAAGTGCTTATTGATTAAATGTGCTTCTGACACACTGTCTCATTATCTTCACCGCATCTGAGTGATGTTATCTCCATTTCATAGACCAGCTAACCGAAGCCCAGAGAGGCTAAGCAGCTTGCCCTGCATCACCCAGCTGGCTGGGGTAAAGGCAGGAACGGCGCCTCCACACTGTTTCCTGGGTGCTGAGTTGCAAGGACCCGGTCCTGGGCCTCTGTCCCAGGTAAGCCTCCAGGAGACGCGGCCAGGCTTCTCTGGGGTCTGAGCTTGCTCAGCAGCTGACGGAGGCTCCCATCAGCCTCTGCCCCCCCAAAGGCCCCTGCCCTTCCATGGGACGGCCGTCTTTGGGACCTAGCTCTGAGCCAAGTCCTGCCTTCTCAGGGTGAGACCCAGTGCTTCTGGATCTGATTCTGTAGTCACCACTGCCCCTCCCCAGCCTGAGCACGGCCTGGGCCCCTGACTGTGGACACGTCCCCGCTGGCCACGGCCTCCAATCAGCCTCCAGCCGGGTCCTTCCCGCCAAGTGTTACTCTCCCCACACGTCAGAGGGGGACAGTTACGCTGACACCTTCGCATGCCTAGCATCAGCCTGGGCATCGGGGTGCACCCCCGGGTGGCCAGACCAGGTGAGCACGCAGTCCAGCCGTGGTCTGCCTTCCCACCGCGAGGTGTCTTGGGGAGGTTCTGAGGCTGGGGGCGGGAAGGTGCGGGCTCCCTCCTCTGGACTTGCAGGC